TTTAATACTTCCTTGAAATTACGGGCTCTGTTATTTATTATGGGTTTCCTTAATTAGTGTAAACATATTTTATTAATTAAATTCAAGTTAAATAATGTACACAACTTGTCATTAACATATTAATACAATTGAATAATTAATAGGATCCGGAAACAAACTGTTAACTTATATTGTGTTTTTCTTAATTGCTGAATGATACTGATAGAATCCACTTTGTAAACAAATGATATAACTGATTACTTCTCGAGACATTGTCAAATGTCATAATGACCCTCTAGGCAATCGAAAATGAATACCTGTAATTCTCGGGAATTAAAAAGTTTCGTATTTTTATATTCTGAAGTTTTAAAAATCCAAAACATTTATTGCGAACCCAATGAAAGTTTTCCACAGTGCCATCTCTATCTTGACCAGGTATTTAAACTTTTGCAAGTTCACCTGTCCTATTGAATAAATACAATAGCTATTGTTCTCTGTGTAGTTTATTCTCTGGGACCTTTAAATTTCTTCTAAGAGAAATCTATCATTCATTGATTAAATTACCTGAGTAAAAAAATGATCTTATATGAAGACAAAAATACTTTTTTTATACTCATTAATTGCATGTGATGATGTATTTATTCAATATTAATAATATATTTTCATTCAGTTTAATATAAACATTGATTCAATCATAAAAAGTTAATTTCTAACAAAAGTTTTATCAATGTTCCTATTGAAATTTGATTTTTTTTGTTTAGTTATAGAATACATTTAAGAAGATCTTAATTTGAAACATCATTATTTTCAAGTTCTTATTCATGTCAAACAAATTTTTTTTTAAAAGGAACAATGTTGAAAGTTTTGTCAGAAATCAACTTTTTATGATTGAATCAATGTTTATATTAAACTGAATGAAAATATATTATTAATATTGAATAACTACATCATCACACACAGTTAATGAGTATAAAAAAAGTATTTTTGTCTACATATAAGATCATTTTTTTACTCAGGTAATTTAATCAATGAATGATAGATTTCTCTTAGAAGAAATTTTAAGGTCCCAAAGAATAAACTACACAGAGAACAATAGCTATTGTATTTATTCAATAGGACAAGTGAACTTGCAAAAGTTTAAATACCTGGTCAAGATAGAGATGGCACTGTGGAAAACTTTCATTGGGTTCGCAATAACTGAAAGAGTGTTTCTGTTTGTCGTATGTTAAACCCAAATAATCTTTTTATTTACTTTTTATAATGTTTCTTCATGTCTCTGGTTTTGTGTACTGTATAAATGTGTGATCATCGTCTTTTCATTGGATGGTGTAAAATAGATTTTTCAAGCATTGACCAATTCAGTGTTCCAGTTTGATAGTTTTCACAGGGCGGTCCACCCATCCTTTTCCGACTGACGCCCTGCCCGATTTTGTGAATTTGGACACGGAAAAAAGATTGTTTCTGATTTTGAACTTTTCCCAAGGGAGACAATCATGATCAGCCAATCAAAATCGTTGTTTCTCATAATTAGAGGGGTAAATTCAGTAAAAAATCTCCCATTGACTTTAATGCTAATCTATGTCTTGAATTAAATTTATACCTGATTTACCTTTAGAAATTGGAAGCTTTCATATATCATTCATGAAAGTACAAATGTAGCCCTATCTTTTGCAACAATAAAAACATAGGGTCATGCGGCATTTTTGGGCATTCACATGGCCTTGTTTACAAACACTGTAGATTCGCACTTAATTCCTTTACTGACCCCCATTACTTTTCAACCCTGTAGTAAAAAAATTTAGTACATTCAGCATTCATTTTTTAATTTTTTTTAACTCTAGTTTTGATCCATCTATCAAAAAATATTTATTACAAACATTATCTACCAATCAGAAGAGCACAGGACTTCAGTTTTGTACAGAAAGCTCTCCCCCAAATGGGCGGTCCCTGATGACGTATATTTATTTACTGAATTTACCCCTATAAGGGACTTTTTAACTTCTTTTCCTATTTTTGTTGTATTAATCATGTAATGTATCCAATTTTCAAGTTCCAGTTTCAATACAACATTCATAAAGGCTGAACTTGTAAAGAGGGAGAAAAATTTATACTAAAGCCCACACTGCGGCCAATGTATATTTGGTATATAAAGTTGCACATTGACTGTTTTTAAAAGAATGGTGTAAAATACTATGCTTAATAAATATGAATTGTTTTCTGTGTTTGCTTTGATCAGTATTGCAAGTACATCTAGGAACTAAAGTCTTGATGTACTCTTAGTTAAATTTTGCCTGATATGGAAGATTTTAATTAAATACCCTGAAAAAGACCACAAAAAGACTTTTCAAAGGTTTTTTAAGCAGTTTCATACCATAAAAAACAACAATTATGTTTCATTTTACTAAATCTGTGTTTTAATTACTTGTAAATTTCACAAAATGTCATTGATAACCACTCTGCAGAAGTTCCTGTTACCCCAACATCAGGATGGTTTCTTCGCCAAAACTAGACGGACAAAACTGAAGTAGAAAAAAGTGCCAAATATGAAAAAAATAAGACTGGGTATGACCAAACTTTGCATTTGGAACATAAAAGTAACAATTTAGAATATTAAAAAGCAATTATTTAACATAGCAATCCAATTACAAACATTTCAACACTAGTTTTATAGATGAAGGGTATATAATAATGAAAAGTTGTCTAGTATTTTTTTTTACTTAAAGAAACGCAATGAATTATGTAAAAATAAATGAATATCTTCATACGGTCAGATTATTCGAGTGTTAAAATACTAGAAAAGTGCTTATTTACAACATGATCTACAACTTAACATGGGGAACACAGCTAAAAAAAATACACTATGTCAAAGGGAGGTAATTCTGATTTTCCATATGATTTTACACACTATTAGGAGAAATATGTTCAAATGTGATTTAAAATGGGGAGAATATTTATGCCTTTTAATAATATCATAACTCTCAAGTGTAATTTCTATTGTTTCTTTCAATCTGGACACAAAACTGATTTTTTACCATATACCCCATGCTTCCTCCCACAGTACACTCAGAGCATCCTGGATAGCCGCGGTTAAACATACAAATTTGTATAAAAACAACTTTAACTGGTTCCAAAAGGCTTCCATTGCATTAATATTTACAGGAAATGAGTTTTGTGATTATTGTGTGGCCTTGAACAAGTACAGTGACAGAGTGCATATTTTCCTATAGGGGTAAATTCAGTAAAAAATCTCCCATTGACTTTAATGCTAATCTATGTCTTGAATTAAATTTATGCCTGATTTACCTTTAGAAATTGGAAGCTTTCATATATCATTCATGAAAGTACAAATGTAGCCCTATCTTTTGCAACAATAAAAACATAGGGTCATGCGGCATTTTTGGGCATTCACATGGCCTTGTTTACAAACACTGTAGATTCGCACTTAATTCCTTTACTGACCCCATTACTTTTCAACCCTGTAGTAAAAAAATTTAGTACATTCAGCATTCATTTTTTAATTTTTTTTAACTCTAGTTTTGATCCATCTATCAAAAAATATTTATTACAAACATTATCTACCAATCAGAAGAGCACAGGACTTCAGTTTTGTACAGAAAGCTCTCCCCCAAATGGGCGGTCCCTGATGACGTATATTTATTTACTGAATTTACCCCTATTGGGCATTGCAAACATTGCAAACATGCTAAATTTTGAACTTGTTTGGAACATTTGATTTGTATTCCTCTGTCTGTATGTCGGAATTGTACAAATCGTGATCATGGCAGATGAATTTTCATATGGAAGAAGGTTCTTACACAGCCTAAGAAGAAAAGCATGACTGATTGACAAAATTCAAAGATGCAGAACTACCATAAAACTTTTGTCTTATTTCTATCACAATGCCCAAGCGGGAAAGACGTTTAAAAGAAGAATTAGAAAAAAGTAAGGTACAAACAGGAGTTAAATTTGAATGACTTCTTTTGTACTACATGAGTGTTTTAAAAATATTTGATTTACAATCCTATGCAGAAAATTGTCAAGCATATTGACAATGACTTCATGAAACTTTAACTGAAAATTTCTTTATTTTAAAGTCTGTTGCATTATTCTTTTACGCAATTATGTCATTAGTTATGAAAGGGGTTAGGCATTAGCCAGTTCCCAAGTTAATTGACAGTTAACGTGCACTTCATGAAAATTTCAGAAGCTTATCCCATCTTCAAATCTTTAATCAGTACGTTTGAATGAATGATTTTTATTATAAAAAAAATATAGTTTGGTAGAACACTCGCCTCACGAAAGTTGAAATCATCAGCTGAATAGTTAAATTTAAACCAATTATACTTAAAATTAAATTAGAAGCAATAAAGATAATGAAGCCAGGTGCATGGATTGTCATGTAAATTATTGCCCAGTAATAAACACTCTACAAGGGGATAATCTGTTATGATTTTTTCTGGAGTTATACATTTCCACAAATATATTTGCCCCCACCTTAAGCCGGGTAAACGTGTCGTCCCCCTGGGAAATGTAAAACATTGTAAAAATGACTTTCTGCTGGATTAGTCTTTTATTGATATAAAGTTAAAACATCCTGACTTCTCACTAGATAAAACTCCTCTCAGGTTTAATTCTTTTACATGTGGATGAAAAATTAAAGTCACAAAAACATTAACTAGGCAGCATTTCCTTTAACAGTCTTTAAGGCTTTGATTACTCTTTATATAACAATAATAACTTTAGTATATTTGGGACTATAAATTCATCTAATAAGTGTTTTAAAGCATCGAAAGAAAGGCTTTTCAGAAAAATATGAGCCAAGCCTTGATGAGACAATTTGACTGTGAGGCCTTAAAAGTGGCATCATAAGCAAGATTTGTTAGATTTTTTATCAAAAATAGGCTAATTTTAAGAACACTTTGGCTAAATTAACATAGAACACAAGTTTTGTTGGTTTCCCTATCAGATAGAAAATATTGTACTTTGAATTGTATGTAAATGAACTCTTGTCATTTTGATAGGCTTATATCTAGAGAATTTTGTGCAGGAAGATTTAAGTAATACCAGTATTACAGTCCTTGCTGGAGAAATCCTTGTTGAACTTGTAGACAAAAAAGAGAATTATACACTCAGCGTTAACCAATCAATGCAGGTAGATATTCCTTTTATTTCTCTGTTAACACATAGTGTCAACATTGGTCAGTTAAGAGTAATCCACTAGTGGTAGGTCAATGATTAAGAAATAATTCCTTCATGTCATGCTCTATGCTCATTTTAACATGGTTAGGCATTATATTTGTCGATATTTTTCACTGAGCGTTAGCGAGGTGTAAAATGTGGTCAAATATAATGCCTACCCATGTTAAAATGAGTATAGAGCATGACATGAAGAAATTATTTCGATTCTAATAGGACAAATACGGTATTTTCATAGGTCGAAGCGCACGAAAATACCTTAAAAACGTTTGGCTGTTCCCGTTTCCTCCCCATGAAGTATGTACATTACATTTTCATATTCAATAAGTTTAAAAACTAATACCAGGGTAAATACATGTTGTTTGGATAAAAAGATATTATAAAGTTTATGTAAGCAGCTAATATATATATTTTTTATATGGATAAAATGAAACTAACGAGACTAACTAAACATTAAGTTTGTGCACATGTATCAAACATATTTTGTGCTAATTAGAACATGGCTTTGTTTACAAAGCGTAATAAGGACGTCATATTAGAATATTTGATGTATGCAGTTGTATAAGCATTTGCGCATCTCATTCTTATGGAGATTGATTGGTCCTGCTCCCTCAGTTATGGTCTATTGACCTTGAAAATTTTGAATAGCTTACATGTTGAACTTCATGATTAGTGATTAGATCAGTTTAAGAGGAACCCATAATGGTTAGTCAATGATATTTGGTAAGCAGTTGTATAAAATAAGCACATCTCATATCCATGAAGATTATTTGGCAGCACCCTCTTATTCATGGTCTATTGACTTTAGAACTTTTGCATAGTTTACATGTTAAAGTTTATGATTAGGTCAGTTTAAGGGGAAACCACTATGATGGGTCAATGATATTCAGTATGCAGTTGTATAAGCATTGGCATATGTCATTTATGCAGAGATTATTTGACCCTGCTCCTTTAGTCATGGTTCATTGACTTTGAATATTTTGCATAGTTTACATTTAGTGCAAAGCAAGTCAACAACAATTTTGTCATCATTGTTTTATATTGAATATTTGGAAAACTGTTGATTTATTTCCAAGTTAGGTCTGTTTTATAAAGAGTGGTAAGGTGTAGTGGTGATTTATTAAGATTTTGCAATGCATACTTTTATATTGTAAAACACATACTTTCCATTCTTCTGAAAAGACTCAAAATCAAGTATATCCTCCCATTGTCACTTACCTTTGTATTTTAAATGTATTCATCTCCCCCTCCCAAAACAAACATTTTTCAAGTGATATTTTAAGTTCCCTTTTAAATAGGACCCTATAACTATTCAACATTCCAATTCATGTCTACAATGTAATTCTTGAAAAGAACAGTTTTTTTGTTGCTGCAATATTAAAAGTGTTTCATAGTATAAATCCTTGACCTATCTGATAATTGTAAAAATAGTTTCTTGAAGATACCTTAATATAAACATAAGGAGATGTGCATGGTGAGATTGTCAATGGGAATGAGACCAAATGACATGGATATAAGCAACTTCATGTTTCAACTTGGAATAATGCAACATATCTACCTACTATCATTATATGCAGATCTGTTTGGTTTTTATACTACCGCAAAAAAATTTGCGGTCGTATATTGGTATCACGTCGTCATCATCGTCCTCCGAAGACATTTGGTTTCAGGAAATAACTTTAGTATTAGTAAATAGAAATCTATGAAATTTAAACATAAGGTTTATAACCACAAAAGGAAGGTTGGGATTGATTTTGGGGGTTATGGTCCCAACAGTTTAGGAATTAGGGGCCAAAAAGCGGCCCAAATAAGCATTTTTCTAGTTTCATGACAATAACTTGTGGGACAGTGTATGGATCTCTCTGAAATTTTACCACACGTTTCCATACCACAAAGGGATGGTTAGGATTGGGGGGGTTATGGCTCAAACCGTTTAGGAATTAGGGGCAAAAAAGTGAGAAAAAACAAGGGTGTCCAGCTGGTTAATGGACAATTACTTAAGTACAAATTACAGTGTAAGGGGGGTAATTCAAACACAACTTTGAGTTACCTCCCTTACACTGCGTTTAAATTATGTATTTAAAGAAATGTTGTATTGTCTTGAGGTGATTAGCTGTCAATTCATTTTTAGAAGTTACTATTTTAATAATTTTAAAAATGCTGATTAAGGTAAATTAATTTTAGCTATGATTATGTATGTCATTTTCTATTTTAAGACTTTAATGATGTATTTAAATGGGTTATTATGGTTGCAAACTCCATTGGAAATTTGAATTCAGAATTATGACCATGTCTTGAGGGAAACAATTTTTTTTTGGAAAAAGGAGGGGGGGGGGTATAAAAAATTTTGAAAAAAGAAGGGGGGAGGTCAATTTGCAACAGCATAGTGTATTGCATAAAAGCAAAAAATTGAATATAAATTCAAATCATATAACCAATTCTAAGTTCTTTGACTACAGTTATTCTGTGTCAGAAACCTATTATGTGTCAAATATTGAATTACAATCCAAATTCAGACCTATATCAAGCGCGAATATTGTGTCCATTTTTGCCCTAACTGTTCAGGGTTGGACCTCTGCAGTCGTATCCAGCTGCGCTCGGCGCAGCAATTTATTCATTATTGTTGCTATAACCGTTCTAGAGTTAAGCTGCTTGAATAAGCACAAAATTGAAAAAAACAAGGTTTCTAGGTGAAAGCATATTTTCTTAGAAGCTAGCATCTTATAAGTTTCAATTGTTTTGCATTCTGTCAGTGAAATCTTTTGGGGAACATGTTTTCATTGATGTAACTGACTTACTGGCATACAAGTTGTATTTATTGTTTACAGCTTCCACCAAATGAGTTCCACAATGTACATACCATATCAGAAGTACCTTCATGTTATATGTACCTGTTTGTCAACACAACTGATATTGACTATGAGAAAAACTTTACAGAGTATGAACAGTATTTTAATATGACAAAGAACTGTACAGGTAGGTACCAATTGTTGTCTGATGAGAGATAATTGACTTACTTGGCATTATTTGGAGAAGATCTTTTTCTCACTGATGTTTGTGTGTTTAGGTGATAATTTATTTTTAGTGCTTCTGCCGTCATTAGCTGCAAGATTAATGCCCATAGGAAATCATTCCATTTAGACAGTGCTATTCCTACATGGTTACTGATGCTCTTCTCCAGAATATTGATTTTGATATCTTGTTAAAGAATGAAAGAATACAATATCATCTGTTTACTATTTTCAGACAAATGTGCAGAAGCAAGTTTAAATTTGACAAAAAAGTTTGCAAGTGATCCTTACAGAGATCTTTATGATCAGAGAATTGCCAAGAGAGAAGAAAGACAACAGAAGATACAACTACCTGCTTGGAGCAAATTATTCAAATTTATTAGCTTTAAATTTGATATTTTTAGAAGAAGGTAACTGTTACATGAAATTGTTTAAATACTACAAAAATACTTTAAAAGTGGGGCTTATGTCCTGAGGGAGGACATTATCTAGGGGTCTTTTGTCCTGCTCCGTCACATTCAAAATAAATAACATTCAATGTTTTTATAACTATTCTGGGGGAGGGGTTATATTTTCTTTTATATTTTAATGATAGCTGCATTGAAAATGCATGAAATACAATTATGGTTAAATTATAGAACTACTGTACATGTGGAAGTTTTTGAGTGGGGATTACTTTCCCTTATATCACAATCACATATAATGCATAATTATCCCCCAATCAAATAGTTTGTAAAAACCATCAATATTAATGTGAAAGATTTACCTATCATTCAAAGAATTAATTTAATCGTAGCACAGAGAGTTGTATGCATTGATGTCACAAAAAAAAACCAACCAGCAAAAATATCCATTTTTACAATAATACACAGTTGACCATTTTACAATTTTACTATTCATATTGTTATAGCTTTATACTGATAGGAGGAGCAGTGAAATGTATTGTTTTACAGCAGAACTTTGAGGAGTTCCTGACCAGTTTTTATGAATCAGAATCATCTGCTGGAAACAATCCTCCTGAACAAGGTACCAGTCATGCAGAAATTAGTGTTGATTTATAGGACTGTTCAACTAGCATCATTTTCAGATGATAAAATTCACATTAATGTGATTGGTTAGAATTATTATAGTTGCAATATTAATCAACAATCATTTTTTGTTTTGGAAAAAGACTGCATGCTATGAAAATTAACTGATATAGGAGAATTTTATACAACATACTTAAATAGATTTGAATTAATTTTATATATACTTTATCTGAAGAATTTTAGAATAATATTTTGTCTGAAGAGTATTTGAATATTCATCATGAGAAGAAAGTTGAAAATTTGTATAATCTGTCTCCCTGTTGAAGATTTGTTTTTATTGTTTTTCATATGTTATATGATTCTATACAGAATTATTTTATGCTCTATCTGGTTCAAACTGTTAGGCATTTAGATTGACCCTTGTCTGTTCTTTCATTTATACATCTATACGTTTCAGTTTGTTTTTAGGTCTAGGTCCATTTCTCAGAATCCTTTGATAAAGATTCAATTGTATTTGAAAACTTTTGTCTTTCTAAATTATTCAATGCTATTCATCATTATTAAAGTTACTTAGAGTGACATTTTAAACTTGTGTTATATCTGACAAAACCAGACATACAAACAAAGACAAACAACAAAGTCCAGATAGCCTGACTTGGTACAGACACTAAAATGTGATGGGGTTTATTCCAGTTTTACCTGCACAAAAACCTCCCCCCTTTGCCTTTCTAAAACATTTCCTAAAAATGAAAAAAAAAAAAATAAATAAACTGAACAGTGCAGCTATAAAGTTTGCATTTGTGTCCATTTTCAAAAAATATGTTGATATATTTATGGAATTACAACATAAGTATTCTTGAGTAGTACAATGAGATTCATCCAAATTTTTGAACAATTTGGCAAGATTAATATAGAGCACAAGTGTCGCCCAAAATGATTTTTTTCCTGTGAATAGTGTTTTATCAAAGTACATAGATTCAAAATTTTGATTATGAAAATCAAAGATAGTTTGAGATATATTTTATTTTAGGCCCATATTGTACCCTTTCCTATCTCTAAAGTCTATGAAGATACATCAGTATTTCATGTATACAGTATTGATGTATGAATAACATCTTTCTCATGTATTTTATTGTACATTGTGCCATTCATGTCTTGAAGACACAACTTTTTATAACTTAAGGAGGATGTCTCATATGGTTAAGACTTCTTGAAGGTAATGAAATGCCATCATTATATATTTTCTCATTTCATGTAAAACACTGTGGGAGTTTGAGTTTTTGATCCCTAGCAAAGTCAAACCATAGACTTAAAAACTGCTACTTCTCTGCTGAGCACGCAGACTGATTGTTACCTTGTGAACTAGCATGTTAAAAAGCTTTCTCATCCTGTTGGTCTAGTACATAGCAGGGTTCATATTTATATGCATTTAATATGCCACTGGGTGTTAACCAGGAGGGGGCGGTAGGAAGGGGTGTCATCCTGAATTCCTGAAAAAATAAAGCATTCTTTCTCTGATCCTGAAAAATTAATCATTTTAAGTCCCGACAAAGGTAAATCCTGAATTCCCTCAAAAATAAATTCCTGCAAAAAATAAAAGCTGATTCCCGACGTCCCTATAAAGGTCCTTCTGCCCCTCAACCAGCCATCTATCATTATCATATAAAATATCAGTTACCTTTAATGTTCCCTTTATTGGTGTCAAACTGATCTGTCATGTGGACGACAATTTACTTTTTTCAGACAAAAATTGATGACAAGTTGGTCTTTATTGATGACCTAGAGAGACAAATGTAACCGTAGAATCTAGGAATTGAAGTTTATGAATTAAATTAATGTTTGTTGAAAATTAGTAATCGGAGGTCAGTGTATATAAAATAATTAACTTAATGCATGTCTCTCTTATTATTGTAAAAGAAAATTCAATATAGAGTTCAATATTTAAAAAAAGTTCTCAATCCCACAGTTCTTTTGATAATTCATTAAAACAAACAATTAAGGTTGACCTGTAAATGTAAATTGTAATATAACTTTTAGACTTAGTTAAGTCTTTATACAGCTTACTGTAATTTGTCTGTTACAATTGAGGTATGGACTGAGTTGAAATTTAAGGTAATTTTGTAGGACTTCATAGGAAGTAAATTGGTGATAGTTATTGCTTGATGTTATAGAATTCTTTATTACATGTATTACTTGTCAAACAGAAATAGATAGTAACTATTCTGAAATTTTGTTTCATGTTTTTACTATCAATTGGTGTAGAGAGAAAGGATAGTTTACATTTTTTGCAATTACATGCTTTCTCAATTGCCTTTCGCTTCTTCATATTTTCCTAGATCCTTTTATAAGTGTGGATGTTTTATCTTCAAGTGAAGCTTAGAATTATGTTCCCTGTTTAAGCTTGTATATAGTTGGAAGACTGTCCATGCATGGTTGTTACATGTCTTAGGCAACCATTTTTAGCATTTGAATAACAAGATCTGTATTGTCTATAGAGATTTCTTCTTATCTTGTGTTGCAATCATATTTCTTTATTATTTTGCATATGTGCTTTTATTTGTCATCAGGTTCTTGTTTAGATGTGTAAAAGTGTAGTTATTAAGATCTTTTTGATATGTGTTGTTCTTATTAAAATGTTGTTTTTAAATGACAATTATTTTTGTACTTTTTGCAATTATGTTCAAATTCTATATATGATATATATAATAAAGACATTGTTTTATTAAAAAAAAAAGCATAATGTATTTCTTTTAATTTGCAAGCGGATAATGAGTACAAACTGATTAAATCTTTATAAAAAAATATGTTACAAGCACATATTGTAAGCTTTTCATTTTTAAATCATTGTATTTTATTTTGAAAGTATTATATAATCTAGAAATCCTTTTTTTCAACTGTATTTTATTTTGAAAGTTTTACATTACCTAGAAATCCTTTTTTTAATTGTATTTTATTTTGAAAGTTTTATCTTACCTAGAAATCCTTTTTTATATGAGAAAACAAGAGCACTGTAAAATATTTACTTGTTTTTGGTTTCATATGTGCCAAAAAATACTGTTTTAGTTCAAATTTACTTTTATGCCCTTTTACCCAATGTATGTTATGTTATGAAATTTAACCCAAGTCCAATGGATGCAGACATACATATTTGATGTGTAAATTTTTAGATGGGCAGATTTAAGTTTTTGGATCAGACCTGTATCTCAAAAATTATTCAAGACTGGTTAAAAATATTTTGTGTGATAATTCTTTACGTGTATATGAACACATATACCTGAAAAGTTCCTGAGTAAATTGTCCATTAAGATAATTCAAATATTGCAGCACGCTAGGTATTTCAGTTTGTAAACACTTGTATTTTATTGTCCCCTACCCAAAGCCTAGAGGGGGACACAAAATACTGGGCATCCATCCATGTGTGCATCCTTACAGTTTTGTAAGCGCTCTCATGTGTACAATTCTTGCTAGATCAGCAATGTCTCAGACAAGTTCCAAAATCAGTGTTGATCAACTTGTTTTTAAAGAGTTCTGCCCCTTGGAAATATTAATAATATGGAAAATTGCATTGTAAGCACTCAAGCATACATTTTCTAAGATTTTTATAAAAATTTTATTCTTTTTATTACATTGACTTTTAATGGAAGTAAAGTAAAGTTTCTAAGGCTTTGTAAATATTTAAATTAAGAAAGAAATTGTGAAATGAAATTAACTGATAGATATTTCATATTAATACATTGATTGCAATGAATTATCGTGAGTTCCCAGTGAAATAAAAACTGATAATTTCACTCCTCTGACGTCATATAACAATGTGTTTTGTCAAGAAGTTAACGTTGTTGATACCTTTGCATCAATACAATTGAGAATGCATAGAAAAAGGTATATTTGCTTTCATTTTTACTTTATTTCCATTTAAAAGTCAATGTAATAAAGAGAATAACTAATCCAAGAATTACAATATTGAAAAATATTCAACTTGTGACCTAACAACACTGATAATTTACTCATGTGCTGTGCTATATTTGAATTCTTGGATTACTTATTCTATAATAAACGAACAAATGTAAAGACTGCACATGATAAACAAATACATGCATACTGTTTTATTTGAAATTAAAAAGATCAAATATTAGCATAATGCATTTATTTTATTATTGCTATCTGTGATAAATCATAAGACTCTTTTTAGTCCTATACCGACGAAGTCGAAGGGGACTTTAGGTTTGCACTCCGTCCGTCCGTCTGTCTGTCTGTCCGTCTGTCTGTCCTTCTGTCAGTCCGGCAAATCAGTTTTCCACACTTTTTTTCTTCATGCATGAAAATATTGATTTAATAATTGTTACATTGTTTTATCATGACAAGTTACAGATCAAGTTCGAATTTTATTCCAGTCTGATGATTTTGTGCAGAGTTATGGTCCTTGGACTTAGAAAATTCACTCAAATAATAAGTTTTCCGCACTTTTTTTCGTCATGCTTGAAGATATTGATTTGATAATTGGTATATAGTTTAATCATGACAAGTTACAGACCAAGTTTGAATTTTGTTTCGGTTTCATGATTTTTTGCAGAGTTATGGTCCTTGGACTTAGAAAATTAACTTAAATTTTCAGTTTTCCTCACTTTTTTTCGTCATGCTTGAAGATATTGACTTGATATTTGTTATATAGTTTACACCATGACAAGTTATAGATCAAGTTAGCATTTTGTTCCAGTACAATTAATATTTAACCGGTAGGGGACTGTGTATTGCCATGCAATACTCTCAGAATGCTTGTTTTAAATTTCCATTTTTTCTTTAAGTGTAGCTTCATTGTTTTCTTCAAGCCTTTTTAATGCTTTGCATTTTTATGTGCAATAATAATATGACAAGTAATTATGGTTGTCTGTAGCAAAATATTATAAATGCTCCCAATGTATATATATTAATTAAAATTTATGCATTTTTTTGTACAAAAGTTTGAAAATAAAGTCATTTGTCAACAAATAATATGACACTATTTTGCATAATTCAAATTGCATCCCTTAAAGGGAAACTTCGCAAAAAAATAAAAAATTGATATTATGTCCATTCTGTATAAAAAAGCACAAATTCATAAATATTAAAGTTTTATTCTGCTAGATAAGAGATCACCATCGATTTTAAATTTAGAGTATCAATTCTCTGCGTGCGGCCATTTTGACATCTTCTCGGTTTAGAAACCACGATATATCTATAAACCACAAAGGACCAAAACCAGCAGTAACCTAACGTAGTCGCATTTATCCGACTAACTAACTTGATACGGAAAATGTAATTATTTTTTTAAATAACTATGGTCTGTCGTTTTTAAACTGTTTTTTCTTTACGAAGTTTTTGAAACAAGAAATTTATATGGGAATTAGTTAAAAAGTCAAAGTTCAATGTCATAAATAAGTGTTCCGTGTAAAATCGTTTTCGAAAATCTAATTTGTTCATAATTCTTTTATGTAATAAACTTATTTAAATAAATTCGGACCTTCTCTTATCTGATCACCAGCATGGCTAAAGGAATTATTCCCTGAGGTATTGTGAGGTGACACGTCCAGGTATTCAAGCGATTTCCTGTCGGGCTTAAAAACTCTTATTACACAATTACATAAAGCATGTTCATGCATCGCTTCACTTCTGAGGGTATTGATCAGTGTACACAGCCGATAACTTGTAACTTTCCACTTTGAAACTATCAGGTGTTAATATCTCTGTCTTGCGTGTCCGATAGTGATATACTAGTCATTACTAAACTCATACGCTTGTTTATAAATAACATTTCTGGTGTAAAGAATGATATTTATGAAAATCTAAATAATTCCCAAAAAAGATTTGATAAAATAAAAATCTATTTACATATTTTTTCCAAGGGTAAATTGGGGAAAATGTAAGTATATACTCGTTGTCAATAATGATGCACATTTTGAAACATGAAAGACTATTGATTTAACAAAAATGTACGCACATGTCGATCATTGGTTTATACGCCTAGATTGAAAGTTACGGAACTTTACGGATAGTCGCAATTTAAAATTGTATATTGAATATAAGAAAGAACATCCAGAACCGATTTGATTTAAATACAGGTCGATATCTAACTTGCTTTGGTTCATCGAAGTTATGGACACAGTAAAATCACAGATTTATATTTCAATTAGATTGTTCTCGAACAGTTGAAGAAATTCGACATCATCTCAATTGTTGCGTATAATGTATATTAATGTGAACATGGTTCTAATAGAACCTTATGCCAATTTTCCTGTTCCGACATGCATGTAATATATATGCATCTGGACGTACACTAATGATCCCCAAAAAGTTTATTTGAAGAAACAAAGAAACTTCACTCCGGATAGACTGATAGTAGTTGTATTAACGTCTGATCAGCTTGAGGGTTGATTAATTTATTACGTTAGCTTGTGGGGGAATAAACCATTCCCAATATTGCACTTATGCATAAAATATTAAATAAGAGTAATATAAGAGAAAATATAAATACGAAAAGTCGCATATCTGGTAAAAAAAAGTCTCACCAACTATAGGATTTCACGTACAATTGTCATTATAATCGAAATAACGGACAGTCATTAAAATACATGCATGTACGTTTAGATAAAAAGGGGTGCTGCAGTTGCATATTATTCATCATAAATCTATTTCAAGTTTATACTTTCCTGTTATTCTTATCAGTTAACGCAGAGACATGTAACTATACATCTCTAGTTAACGACAATCAACTATATAAATATCTGAATCTGATGTGACTTTCCGTTCATCTCTAGTGGTTCATCTCTTTCATTTTTTTTTATTTGGGCAGGAACATAAACATTGTTCGATATAATGTTCCCAGGTTTGAAGGGGGGGGGGGGGTTGGAGGTCAAGTCTATCGAAAGTTACAAAATAAGAACATTGTATTTATGAATTTACAAGAAGAATTCTGTTCTTGGACGTAGTTTTCTTCTTTTTTTTTAGTTCAGTGATTTAAATTGAGAAAAAATCTAGTCAGAATTTAAATCGTTCCGGCAATCCCCCACCTAAGACTCCACTAAAATCATGAATGGTCATGCTTCACAATCATCAGAATTTACTTTGCATTGGTACATTCTGTATCGGTAGTGATTAACCTTGACATTTCCGGGTATAACAGAGCTACTTGTATATTACCTGTATGTGGTTAGGTACATCGTTCCATGAGGTCTTACGTATACAGGTTCACATTTATAATGGTTTCTGATATAACAAGGTTTTATGACATTCACACTTCTGCATGTTCTATATACCAGTTTCTTATCTTTTTTTCAGACCGAATGAGGATGTGAATATTTTCCAGGAAAAATATTGAGTATCAAAGTATCAAATTAATTTCGGGATATTTTTCTTTCTTTGTATTAAATCACAGAAATTTAAAGAATATACTGCTTATAGATATAAGAAGATGTGGTATGAGTGCAAATGAGACAACTCTCCATCCAAGTCATAATTTATAAAAGTAAACCATTATTGGTCAAAGTACGGTCTTCAACACGGAGCCTTGGCTCACACCGAACAGCAAGCTATAAAGGGCCCCAACAAATTACTAGTGTAAAACCAGGAGTATTCTTGTCAGTTAAGACAGACATATAATTATATGTATATATATGTCTGCGGTATAGACATGGTTTATGAATGAATGATAAGTCTGGCAAAGGTACAAGATATAAAGCACATTAAAATTGATTCCGCCGGTCTGTCTCCATTCAATAAAGGAAAGTTGACGTTAGATTGATTCTGTAAAAAATTTTTAAACATCGTTGGTCAAATAGCTAAAGTATTTGTTGTGAGATGTAGAATATTTTAATAAGGACATTCCCGATTAGGTAAATGTAGATTGCTTTGGACGGACCAAACTATATTAATGTAACTGAAAATTTTCTCTGCACATTTAAATATTCAAGGTTACCGATGATAATTCAAAATAGCACAGTTTTTGGTTTATACGCTCGTTTTCGTGGGCCGTTTTTATTTATAAAATTATTTCATTGAAAGTTATTCAGAATTCCGATGTTACAACAAAATACTCACCAATCTATTTAAAAACTGAGCTAACGCAAAATATAAAAAAATATATATAACGGCGATTCAGGTATTTTGCCACCATATTCCTCCCCAAATAATTATTTTTTTCTGTCTCAAACCCACATTTCTCTTTTATCATTTTTGTTTTAATAATCTTTTTCAAACCGGAAAATAATTTTTGTTCGTAATTATTCGATCTCATTCCAATAAGACAAAGTTGACCGTAAATTTCCTGTCAACTTTTTAAACATCTTTCTCAGTCAAATGGCTGAAGTATTTATACGTTGTGAGATTTAAAATATTTTGATAAGGACATTAATTCCTGAATATGTAAATAAAGATCGCTTTGGACGGACCAAATTATATAATTGCAATTGGTAATTATCTATTTCAAATATGCAAGGTTACCTATTCTAATTTAAAATAGTACAATTTTTAGTTCATACACTCGTGTTTAGAATGCCGTTATTATTTATTCAATTAAATTAATTCAGTATTTCATTGTTACAAAAATATTCAGCAGTCATAATTCATTTTAAACGGAGCTTACGGAAAATATAAAAATATACCACGGCTATCCAGTTATTGTGCCACCATATTCCTCCCCCAAAATAATTATATTTCTTTTTTTATTTTCTGTCTCAAACTATCACTCCCGTTTATCATTCATACGAAATGATGTTCACACCTGGAACGGTGAACCGTGACGGCTAAAATTCACTGAGTGAAGATCAAAAGATTAGAATTACAGAATGCAAACCTTTAAATACCTTGAATTTAACCACGCATTCAACAGGTAGTCACTAAGTGTCACAGTACAATACACATTGTATTTATTTTACACAGTACTAGCGAGAAATGTTTGCTAGACTGAAGTAAAAGGTGAGAATACAAACATGCATTTTTAATACACTATCAGTTATATATGTTTGTTGAAAATATCCGTCGGAAAAAAAATTCATAAAAATATTCTATTGTATGATTTACTTTTATTACTATAATGACTATAATCATATCAGAAATCCTTAAAATATAAATCGTACATTTTATTTTTAAAAGTTGCACGGCTGATCACTTTACTTTCTTGATTATTAGTTGGTTAATAGCTACGCCAAAAGTCGTCGATGCGCTTTAAATCGCGTTATTAGATGATTAACGAACAAGACTTAAATGAGATTAATTCCACTCCCGGCATGCAAAAAGACTTAAACTACGTCACAGAAGTCAGGAAGTTCGAATAAATAAAATTAATAATTCCCAATTTTCTTCTTTATTAGTTTACATATCCAGATAAAACTTGGTGAATATGTTTTTTATGGTATTATGGACATTATAAGATGATAAGTAAAAAATCGCGAATTTTCCCTTTAATTTTTTCTGATTTGAACTTTTATCTTCTGATAAAAATGATTTTAAATGATTTATTAAATAGAATAAGATTTAAAACACTTTTCACTTGTCCAAGTTGTTAAAGATAGTGTTGTCATAATGATATAAAATAAACAGCTGCGCCATGAGCGCATGATACGCCCGTCGTCTTGTGTGTGAATTTTTATGCAATAATCATAAATAGTTTCTGACATACTGCCTGACATGCGAAAACCCCCTTTTTTTTACAAAAAACTCAATATCTCTAAAATAAAATTTTGAATCAAAACCAAAAAGTATGCAGATCTTAAGGTTAATATAACTAAGAAGTGTGTAAAGTTTTAAGCAATAATCATAAACTATTTTTGAGATACGGTGCGACATGTGAAAAACCTCTCCCCCTTTTTTAACAAAATACTCAATATCTCTAAAATAAAATTTTGAATCATCACCAAAAAGTATACAGATCTTAAGATTAATATAACTAAGAAGTGTGTAAAGTTTTAAGCAATAATCATAAATTGTTTTTGAGATACGGCGCGGCATGTGAAAAAAAAAACACACACCTGTTTTAACTACCAAGTCCCGTAACTCAAAAAGTTTTAATCTTATTTTCACCAAAAAGTATACAGATTGTTTGACCATCATAAGAAACAACTATGTTAAGTTTCATGAAATTTGGATAAGTTGTTCTCAAGTTACGGTGCGACATGTTTACGCCGGACAGACGGACAGACAGACAGACGGATAGACGGACAGACGGACAGACGACATTTGTATACCATAATACGTCCCGTCAAAATTTAATTTGACGGGCGTATAAAAAATATAATCATTTTTCTGATTTATTTCATAAAACAAATATGTTCCAATAGAATTTCATACAAGCATATTGTTAATGGTGAATATATAAAAAAAAAAGGCAGTGGCTATTTTGCCCGCATGCTTTGCTTATGTATAAATGTTTTAAAGAAGACATATTTTTTAGAGATTTTTATCAAACTGTATGTGTCTATATTTTTTCTATTCTTAATTAACATACTGAAAATCTGAATTAAGACTGGCAAAATAGCAAAACTCTATATAAATCGCTATTTTGCTGGAGTCTGCAAAATAGCGCTAAGGAAGCTATTTTGCCAGAGCCGGTAAAATAGCACCTAAGAAAAAAGATCATAATGATCTATTTGTGAATATTTACCAGTGACTGTGATGATCCTTTTGATTTTCTCTAGCATATGAATTTTTGTCCTGTTTTGCAACAGATGACTGTATTTGTATACACATGATTGCAAAACACAATCAATCAATCAAAAAAATATGTTACAGTACTCATCAAACACTGCATATTGTTTTGATATGGCTGTAAGGCACACATTTACCTCGTTTTTGGAGATCATGCAAGCATTTTTTTAAATGAAAAACAACAATGAACATTCATTCTTTATTTACACTAATGTATTATAGTTCATTATTTCATGATCATTTATTTCAGACTTGCTCATTGTCAGTATTAAGTACAACATACTATATTTCACATTTTTAATATGAACGTTTTCTTCCTTATTTTACATTTCTAATATGAAAGTTTTCTTCCTTATTTTACATTTCTAATATGAAAGTTTTCTTCCTTATTTTACATTTCTAATATGAAAGTTTTCTTCCTTATTTTACATTTCTAATATGAAAGTTTTCTTCCTTATTTTACATTTCTAATATGAAAGTTTTCTTCCTTATTTTACATTTCTAATATTAAAGTTTTCTTCCTTATTTTACATTTCTAATATAAAAGTTTTCTTCCTAATTTTTAGTGATAATAGGAAGACTGTTTAATGTATACAATACTATATACTATACAGGTAATACCTTTGATTTATTATTTCCATCAGATTTTTAAATGATAAATGATCTTATTAGCTTTTTTACTGGTAACATTAATTTTAATGCATTTTTTTATTGTATATTTTTGTTAAATTTTATGTATTAGAACATTAGACTTTATTTTTGCAACTCAAAGTAATTAATAAAATTAGCATTGCTCTTACTGTTTTTTTTTAGCTCACCTGGACCAAAAGCTATTGCCATCCGTTTGCATTTATCATCTGTTGTCTGTATAAACGTTATTAAAAATCTCCTCCTCTGAAACATTTGAACAGTTCTGAACCAAACTTTGTGTGAATGTTTCTTGGTATGTTCAGTTTATTTAATGTGTCTGAGATTTTGATTTGTCAAAAAACATGATGTATCTAAAAATAGAACTGCACTTTTTGGCTTGTGTAACCTAAAGCAGTTTGAACAATCAGAAAAATCAGACTAACCAATATTGAGTTATTGCCCCTGAAATGTCCATTCCTATGACTGGGGCATTAAGTGTTACCCTTGATCTCTGTCCTTCCATCATTCCCTCTTTCCGTCCTTCCATCCGTCCGTCTCATTTTCAAAGCTTGAGCGGGGCATTCATGTCCTCCGACACATTCTTCTTTTATTTTAGCAAATTTTGTAGTTTTTTGGAGTTATTGCTCTTAATGAAGATTTTTACCCAATTAATGCATTTTTGGCTATATTCTTTAAAACTACATTAGATTGATTGATTGGTGTTTAACGCCACTTTCAACACTATTGTGCTATTTCGTGGCGGTCAGTTTTTATTGGTGGAGGAAGCCAGAGTGCTCGGAGAGAACCACCGGTAGGAAAACTGACAATCCTAGTCAATTAAGATTGGAGTCGAGTGCACCTGCCCCATGCAGTGTAGACTGGCTAGTGATACAGTAGTTCGACTACTTAGACCATTGGCCACCGAGGCCCCAAAACTACATTTGAAAGAGACCTTTTACAGCAAAGATAAGATCTGCGAAAAGGTGAACAAAACTGAATTTGTGGATAGATATAAAAATAAGATGTCGTATGATTGCCAATGAGACAACTATCCACAAAAGTTCAAATGAAGTGGATGTAAGCAATTATAGGCAACCATACGTCCTTCCACAATGAAGAAAAACCCATACCGTATGGTC